CATAGGTAGTGGTCTTCATCTCTCATTGGGTAACACACTGGAATGTTCTGTCAGGGTAAGCTGTCTCCCAGTGACGTGGTTGCAGAGTCTCCAGATAAAATACAGGACACCCAGTTAAATGTGAATTTCAGATAAACAACAAATATTTGTTTAACATATGTGTCCACGCAATATTTGGGCTACATACTAAAATAATTAGCCATTGTTTGTCTGAAATTCACATTTCATTGGGGTGTCCTGAATTTTGTTTGCTAACTCTGGCACCCCTATCTATCTGGGTGGATTGCTCTGTCCTGTCTCCTCATTTCCCATTTTCTCCTGTCTTGCTCAGTTCATGTTCTAACTCTAACTGAGCTTTCTCAGTCTTGGCAGCGTATCCTCCTTCTACCTGCCTCCTTAAATATGGGGAATCCCCAGGAATGCATCTGCAATCCTCTGTTTTTTCTCTACACTGCCCCCCAGGGGAAGTTCACCCACCATAAAACTAAAACTATCATTTGTGCATACACAGATCTCAAATAAGAAGTCAGGGTGGTGCAACAGTTAAGTGCTCAGTTGCTAACCAAAAGTTGGCACTTCAAACACACCCAGCAGTTCCGCCAGAGAAAGACCAGGCAATCTGCTCCCTTAAAAATTACAGCCTGGAAAACCCTATGGAGCAGTTCTACTCTGTCACACAGGGTCACAATGAGTCAAAAATCAATTTGACAGGACCTAACAACAACAACAAATCCCAAGTCTGTCTCCATAACTGATCTGTCTATTCAACTCTAGACTCCACTTTCATCTGCCTATGGGACATCAGCATTATGCTCTAAAGGTTAAGGATTAAATCGTAACACATCTCTCTGCAATGAGAATTCTCACTCCATTGCTTTCAGCCATAAAACACAGAAACGATCACTGATAATTGGAAGAGCGTATACCACCTCTCGTCTCTTTCCAACTAATCCATTCTCTTGTGCATCATGAAAAGGGGTTGATGCCAATGCCTAGCCTTGAGCTACCAGTGGATTCATCCAACTCCTGCAGAACAGAACATGGGAACTTTTCCCTATGAAGGAGCTAGAGAACCTCCTGCAAGGGCTGGGGACCCATGGATGGACTTACCAGTCTGCTAGTCACTCGACAAACATACTGAACTCCTGTGTTGATCCAGGTACTGTGCTAGGCACTGGGGGCCTGGAGATGAGTCAGACAGCCCTTTCCCTCCAGGGCTCACAGAGCAGTGACCCCACGCCATGCTCCTGAGGGTCTGTTGTTGCTGTTAGTTGATGTCAAGTCGATTGGGAGGCACAGCGACCCTTTGTGTTTGGGATGTAATACACCGGCAGCCCAGAAAGTCCTCCTAACTCCACCTCCTGAGTTCAGGTCTCTCTCTTTCTTTTTTTTTTCCCTTTCATTTATTCATTCAACAAACATGTGCTGAGTACCTACTGTATGCCAGGAACTGCTGTGAGTTGGGGTACAGCAATGCACAAGATAGACAAAAACCCTAGACTTCACAGAGCATACATTTCAGCCTTCATAGGGGAAGGAGCAGCAGAAAAACAAGTGAGTAAAAGACTCAGAAAGTTAGAAGATGCTTATAAAGCGAGCAGCCAGGTCAGGAGTATAAGGGAAGGTGAGTGACACTTTAAATAGACCATTGGCCTCCCAGAGAAAGTGATATTTAAAGAAAGACGGACGTGAAACGGCCGCGGAACGAGCACCCTCTCCCCGGTGCGTGTAGTTTGTGAAGCACACATCTCAGAGCTACATTTCAAGGAGAAAAATGGCGTGTTCTCGCTACCAACAGGAAAAGAGGCAGTATCAAAGGGGAAGAAAAGCCCGGGACGACAGAAATTATTCCATTCGAACCTTCCCTGATGGACACTTGAAAACCAGCCCCGGGGACAGAGCTGGGCCTGCCAGGCCGAGGGGCTCCCCGGGCCCCTGTCTCTGGCTGTCAGGCTAATCCCACCACCTCCCCCCCCCGCCCCGCCCCGCCCTAGGGGGCGTTTGCCCGGGGGAGGAAAGTTCAAATCCGGCTGAAGCAACCCCTGGAAGGCGCTTTGAGCAGGAAAGCAACGCTGCCGCCCGCCCAGTAGGACTGGGGCAGCGAAACCAGGCTGGGCCGCGGCGGGGCGGCCTGGCTGCGAGGGGCTGCGCGCCACGCGTCCTGGGCGCCCCTCGCCCAGAGAACTCGAGCTTCTCGCGGCCCGCGCGCTCAGCTCCTGCCCCGGCTCTCCGCCCGCGGAGCCGGGATCCGCCCTCCCGCCTTCTCGGTGGGCACATAACTTCGTTTTTTTGAGTGATCTCTAGCGCGCCCCGGGACCGCTGCTCAGTGCGCCCCTTTTCCGGGCCCGCGGCCCGCGGGTTCAGAGATGGAGGATTAAGTGCGCACTGGTCCCGGGCCTCCCGAAAACTCTCTCAGGATGCTGTTTTGCTCGGGCCGGGGTCTCTCCCGCGCCGAGTTGCACAACAAACCATTTAAACATTTCAGCACAAAACCCGCTCCATTGTGGAGCCGCACATTAAAAAGTGTTATTCGCTTTGAAGTTTTTGTCTAATGGCTGTAAACTGAAAGAAAATGTTTTCCTATTACTTAATTCAATCATAGCGAAGAGACTTGGTAAAAAGCCCACGGATTTTGCCCCAAAGTGTGACAGAGTTCTCTTTGTGTTTGCTTATCCTCCGCTGTCACACACTTTAATTCGCCTCTCTTTATCTGGCATTCAAAACTTTCTTCAATGACATTCAATAAGGTCCAGAGGCTGGAGAAAAAATGGGTTTTTCCCCCCCCCCCCCCCATATTCTTTCCCAGTAGCTTTGGCCTTGCTCGCATGCAGGGCCTCTTAACCCCTTCCTCCCCGGCCGCGCGCGGTAGTTCGCGGAAGAGCCGGGCACTGGCCCCTCGTAAGCACCAGGCTCCCGGACGCACGGCCCCCTCCCTTCACCCAGCGGACCCCGCGCGCACCTCGAGCCTCGCCCAACGCCTCCGCCCAGCGGGAAGCCCATCTCCCAGTCCAGGTTCCCGCTCTTGACTCGGTCTCAGCGGCCCGGCCCAGCGCAAAGGTCCCAGAAAGCAATTAGAACCGGAATAAAAGGCTGCGCGGGTGCGTTCCGGCTAGTTTGCAGGCACCATCCAAAGTAGAGGAGCCTTGAGGCCCGAGACCCTGGGGTTAGGGGAGTTTAGCTCTCCCTCCACCCCATGCCAAGCAATCGGGAAAACATTGAACCCTAAGTGCTGCTAGATAAGAAGTCCTCCATCCAAGGGATTTTCCCATTGCCCCTCTTATGGAATCGGATTTTTTCTCTCATAACAAATTCAGTCAGTTATGATTTCAATCAGTTATGATTTTTTTTTAACTGTTGTCTTAGAAAAGATTCAATCATTGATGAAACCCCGCGGCCACACTTTGATTTTCAGCAGCCTTACTCGCACGCACCAGTTCCTGCCTCTGGAAAACGTCCCCCTCCATTTCTCACAATTCCATTCAGGGCCCAGAGCAGGTGACTGCAGCGATTCAGTCCCAATAAAATCGAAAGCAAACGTCTCCCGTGAAAAGTCGCGGGCTGAAAATTGGAAATATTTATGCTAATTTCCCATTGTACGGAAAAAAGCCCCTGGGCGAAGCCGCTCTGAGCCGGAGAAAGGTTTTAAACCCTGAAGCTGTGTACTCAGCGCCAGGCGTTTGAAGTTGTTTAACTATTGTGTGACCAGAAAGAAGAAAGTGACGCTGCGGGAGGAAGGAGCTGGGACTCGGAGAGAGGGGTACTCTGCAGGGTGGGCGAAGCAGCCAGCGATGGAAGTACAAGTGTCCGGCTCGCCGTTGCTGGGGGAAGAACTGCCGGAAGGCAGTGGTTTCCGAGTTCTCGGGCGAGTCCCCTCTGGTGTGCGCGAGTGGAGAGGGTGCCGGCAAAGGTCCCACGGGGAGGGACCTTCTACAAGGCTGGTGCGGGCGCGAGATCTCGGGGTCTGCACAGTCTAGGTTTTCATTCCTCATTTCCTGTCTCTGTCCTCTGTCGGGGACTTTCAGCGGCTGTTCTCTTTTTACATTTAAAACATTTTTTTTAACATTCTCAGCCCTGACGATTGAAGGAAAGGGCGGATTCACCAGCGTCTTTCAAACGAAAACTGGCGCTTTAGGCAGCCCCAAAGTTAAGACTATTTGGGAAAATTAGAGAAAATAGAAGTACACCACAGGGGTTAGTGACAGATGAGGAAGACTGGGCGCTTCTCCTCCCTCCCCAGCGTCCCCCGCCCCGCAGGAACCCGGTCCTTCTGCTGCCGACCGTAGGAGAGGAGAGGCGATTCCACAGGTGGAAATGGGAGCTGGGAGCAGGGACGGCCCAGGGTGCACAGCGCTGAGCTGAGGAAGCGAGTAGAGACAGAATGCTCTTGGAGGGCAGAGGGCATGAGAGAAGGAAAGGGACCGGGACCAAGTACGCAGAGGAGATGGGGTGCGTGCCCACCGGGATCTGTGGAAGCGAGGCAGCGGGGGTGCAAAATCAATAAGATAAGCTGGCCGATCGCGAATGCAAAGCCAAAGCGGAGTAAGGAATAAAGAGAAAGAAAAGAATATTAAATCGCGGGAGAATGAGAAAATAAACCCGCTAAAGGGAGAGGAGGGGGCGAGGGCGCCTGTTACGGCGTGGGTGGGGTTGACAAGAATAGAGTACATTATGCAGTTCATTTAGTTAACAAGTGAAATAATGAGGAAGCGTGCAGAGTGAATGCCAAGAGAAAAGGCACAAAAACCCTATTGAGAGGCCCCGGCCGCTCCTGGCGTAGCCCATCACATGGCAATAGTCCTATTTAAGCGGCGCCGCCGGCGCCTTTCAGCACCACTAGCGCTGGCCAGCACCCCGAGCTCTGTGGGCGGCGCCGGTGGCAGCGGCAGCGGCTGCGGCTCCCTCTTCCGCCGGGACAACAGCTCCCGCCTCCCCTGTGGAGAAAGCTGCCGGGGGCGGCCGGCCCGGGGAGCCCGTGGAGAGCCCCGAGTGGTGCGGGGCGCACGGGCGGGCTGGCGGCCGGGCAGCCGCGCGCAGGGGCCATGCCGCGCTCCTTCCTAGTGGATTCGCTGGTACTGCGTGAGGCGGGCGAGAAGAAGGCGCCCGAGGGCAGCCCGCCGCCGCTCTTCCCCTACGCGGTGCCCCCGCCGCACGCGCTGCACGGCCTCTCGCCTGGCGCCTGCCACGCGCGCAAGGCCGGGCTGCTGTGCGTGTGCCCGCTCTGCGTCACCGCCTCGCAGCTGCACGGTCCCCCCGGGCCGCCCGCGCTGCCGCTGCTCAAGGCGTCCTTCCCGCCGTTCCGCTCGCAGTACTGCCACGCGCCCCTGGGCCGCCAGCACTCTGCCGTGTCGCCCGGGGTCGCTCACGGCCCAGCCGCCGCCGCTGCGGCCGCTGCACTCTACCAGACCTCCTACCCGCTACCGGACCCCAGACAATTCCACTGCATCTCCGTGGGTAAGCCAGGCCGCCTAGCGGGAGACTGGACACGGGAGACCCGAGGCAGATTGGCCTAGAAACGAACCGAGGAAGGGGAGGAGGGATCCTGAGTGTTCTGGGGGCGGCTAGGGTCGTATGGGGGGGGGGGTTCCTGAGGGAGGCGCTCAGATGGAAGGCCTGACAGGACGCCCGGGAGACGGTGAGGACAGAGGCTCCAGGTCCTGGAGAGGGCGCCCAGGGGGAAGTGAGGGCCGGGGTCCAGGGCGTTCCGTAAGGAGGTTCCAGGGCCGTGTGACTCCCGGTAGAATCAGTGTCCCGGGGCTGGGCGTCGGTGCTCACGCTGCCGCCGCGGATGGTGCTCAGGGCCAAGTGGTGGGTGAGAGACCAACATCTCAGGTCTCCTAGTGTTCGCCCAGCAGGGACTGGAGCCACGGGGCTAGGATCTGACCGCTTCCCTCTCTGCACCCCCAGACAGCAGCTCCAACCCGCTACCCAGCAGCAAGAGGATGCGCACCGCCTTCACCAGCACGCAACTGCTAGAGCTGGAGCGCGAGTTCGCCTCCAACATGTACCTGTCACGCCTGCGTCGCATTGAGATTGCGACCTACCTGAATCTGTCTGAGAAGCAGGTGAAGATCTGGTTCCAGAACCGCCGGGTGAAACACAAGAAGGAGGGCAAGGGCAACAACCACCGCGGAGGCGGCTGCGGCGGCGGCGGCGGCGGCGGCGGCGG